ACCACTATATTATACACTACACTACCAGATGCATTAATGCACAGCGGTCGCCATAGCGTATTAACTATTATGTATATTATAAAAAAAGGTGTTATTTTTAAACACACGCGGCAGTGTGTCAGCTAGGGGACAGGTGTTGGTTGCCAAAAACGGCCAACGCTTTAGAAGTTGGCACTCGACAACGGCGCATACACGAGTGCATCGGTCGTAAAACGTCTTCCGAACGGCGTTTTTGTTTTTGTAAAGCTATGTAAGAAACGGTGATCGTTATCATGCCGTCCCAGGTCGCCTTGACGGAATTTTACGTTAGCGCCAGGCATCATTCGCGCCAAAATATTGTATTACATGACCGTGCCATACTATACAGAGTGTATCACGTCGTGTTATCGTAGACAGAGGCACTGTGATTTTTTTGATTATAATAATGCTTAGGGGTGGAATTTTCGTAAAGTACTATGCCAGTTAGGTTCGCGGGAGTGGACTCAACAACTTCCCAAAGTTTCACGGCGATCGGATAAATAGTGTAGCAATGCATAAAGGACAGGCACGTACTCAGGGGGGTGTTTTGGGTGTTCAAACACCTCCCAAAATGCTTGGTATTTTGTATGGTTATTTACTTATTCAATTTCAATGTTATATTATACTTTAATAGACAGGTATATAAAACACCCCCAAAACTTTTTTCTGCGTACGTCCCTGATAAAGGACAAACAAGCAAACAGACATTCATTTATATATATATATAGCTTATGTTTTATTGATTGTATTAATTTTGTAAACATAAAAGTGATACCTAATTTTCAACCATTTCATAACAACAACCGATCGTTCATCGTTGGAAGTCTGCCAATTGCAGAGTTATTACAGGACATAATATACGCGTCACGAGCTTTTCACGAATAAGTATAGCGTAACACCGTAATAGTAATGGTAATGATAAGGTATATTATGTTAAGTGACCCCCGTGTACCATTGCCTACATAATGTACACAAGATGTTCAACAATATATATATTGAAGTCTTCGCTGACTCCCTGACTCCCACGGTAGCAAACGCCGTCGGCAGGATTTACTGGATATCGTGACAGTCTTATGTGGGAATCTGGCCAACTTACCGACTGGTTAGTAGTAGGTATGTATATACCTGTGCACACGCTTTACATACTAAATATATTTATATAAACGCATATTGGAGCGCAGGATTCCAATATTTCTGTGCAGATATGTGAATACAACGTATATATAACTCTACCTTCTCGGATGTATATTATGTTGTATGTGTGTATAATGTGATTGAGCGTAACAAGTAGGTAACTGTACGTTAGTTTCTCTATGATTAAAGTGTAGTCCGGAGGGTAGGTTGAATTCGCAATTGTTTTACCCAAAAGACCATATAATAATGATCGCCACCGGTAAACTTACATCAGTAATATCGATGTCGGTGATGGTATTTTGTACGAAAGTAAAACCTATCTGGTAATTGCCTAGTAGTAACAGATTTCCAACTCTATAGGGTACTAGCTGCAATATTCATACCGCTCTGAAACCGTCCCTGAGACGTTCCATATATAGCTTAGTTTGTATAATATATAAGATTGTGATTCGTGTCGGTTGTTCTTGTAAAAGTCAATCACCGCATCGTTCATCATATTTTTTTTTTTAATGAACTCAAACAGCTTACGGCGAAATAGAAACAAAAAAAATCTACCTTGTGGGATAACATCGTGGTTGTTGACTGTTGTACACAGTCCGGTATCATTCTGTGTATGCAACTATACATAATATATGTGCAATGTGCAGTGTATATGGTAACCAGATGTGTGCTGCTATTCTCACATACAGGATGTAGACGTGTTCGATTTCTGACCGCGTTTTGTCAATAGTCAATAGAAAAAATAATTGAAAAAATTAGTTTTTATTTTAATATCCGTCGATACGTATAAAAGCTACTTTCCCAAAACTATCTGCATTTTTACTGTACCTACATTATATTGTTGTAATGACAACAATATAATGAAATATGAGTTGTTAATACTACATAGTGGTACCAATAAACTGTGCTGTATTTAATGTAAATATTTGTTGTACTTTAAACATGTTTAGGCCTTTTTAGCAGTAGTTAAATTAAAACAAATGTAACATAATTTAATTTATCACGTAAAACAAAACCAATTTTGATTTTATTGATTTTTAAAAAACCAAGTAAGTATAGTAGTTGAAATTAAAAAAAAAATGATGTTTGACAGCTTTTGAATAGGAAAAAAACTTAGATTCAATATAACCAGTACGTGAATTGAAAAATTAAAAGTAGGGGGACGTTTTTACTTTAAAAAAATGAGCGTACACGGCATTTTTTTTACCCCTAAAACACTACCACTTTCAATTTTTTCTTAAGCTATAAGAGACAGAAAGTTGATTCTAAACTCATTAGGATTGAAAGTAGTCAGTTTTTTTTGACGTTTTCTACAAAATTATGCCCACTTATAATGGTCCGATTTCAATACTGTAAAAATATTTGAATTTATCGGCCTCTTTTAAAGGTTATTGGGGGAGTCAATTTTTAATATTTTAATTAAAATTATGTTAAAGTTATATTTGTATTTCTCAAATTTTTAGTATTTTTGGTTATTTTAAGTAAACGTAATAGTTATTCAATTCACATTTCAGTAAATATTAAATAATATAACTATGTTCTTGAAATTTAAAATTTTAACACCATATGAATTTAAATATTTAATACAACCGATTTAAATTAATGCATATAGCATATTCTGAACCAATCGTTGTTTACAAAGATTTAAATTACTACTAGCAATTAATATTTATAATTAATAAATAGTAATATATCTTAGATTACTTCAAAGTTCAAGCGCTATGGTCTAAAGGTTTAATCGTTATAATATGCACAATTCATCGTTATCCGTTTATTTAAGCCAGGAAAGGACCGTACAAGAACGCCGTAAATAACAATCTGAAGGATACCTAGTCGGAATTGCACGTATAAGCCGATATTAATTACTATTTTTTTCTTCTTTAAAATGAATTATTGTTATTTATACCTAAAAAAGTGGTGTCTAGCCAATGTCGTACATCAACGATTGATTTACAAATCACAATTCTGATAAAAACAATTACCCCGTTGTAAACCGTTTAAGGCGTTTTCAATAACTGGTCAACCAAGATGGTATCAAAGGGTCTATAAATCATCTTTAAATAAGTCATACTTGGACTCTATGACCATTTTACGCATTGTATTTAATATAACATTTACTTACAAGTTACATATTATATAGCTATACCGGATTTAACTTAGTTTATATATATATATAAAGATAGAGAGAGAGAGGGCCTGTATACTCTCCACTATGGATATAATTTTTAAACATAAAATATACTATTTTATCCAAAATCTATAACATTCGATATAATATGTATTATTATTTTATTTACCAGTTGCTATTACTTTTTTGCGGATATACAAGATTTAAATTTCCAACTTTTGTTTTTTTTGTGGAATAGCCATTAAAAACAAATTGAGTTAACATATAGAACACATCACCCATGATGACGTGATGTTCGTGTTTATTATAACGAATAGTTATTAAAAATGATCGGCAATGTACCCGTTTACTTTACATAAATAGTAAATATCAAAAGTTATTCGATATAAGAAATAAAAATATCGACCGCCGTTTGTCAATAATATCCACTCACTGTAAAATAATATTTACAAACGAAAAAAAACATGTAATAAGTAATAAAAATAATAAATAGAAGGGTTTACATAAAAAATGTTTTTGGCGTGTTCTAAAATCAATGATGGAAATAAGTTAAAATACCTACATTATATATTGAAAAAATTAAGTAAAATATTATGTACATATTTTTTGGTTGTTACTAATTTTGAAATGTTACAGAGTATAGCCTATAGACGGATTATTTTGTCTAGTGTGTTTAGTGATTTTGTCAAAGGCCTAATTAAACATCATACATATTTACAAAAAACATTTATGAAATCGGATATGTCCTTAAGGCCCCTGGATACCGACCGTTTTTTTCAGCCAAAACACATCTTTTTTTGTCCATCGCGCAGGTCTAGCTAGTGATCCGATTAGCAATTTAAAAACAGATATAAATTTTTTATGAAGTTTACTTGAGATCGATCAGACCGTTTTTTTCAATTTTTTATTTTAACCCTTTCCAAACTTGAATTTGAGTTTTGAAATTTTATAAAATGTTCAAACGTGTTTTATGCGTAGTTTGAATAAGATATCAAAAAAGTACGCTGACCGATCTCAAGTAAACTTCATGACAAATTCAAATTTGTTTTCAGATTACATATCGGATCACTGGTTCAGTCTGTGCGATGGACAAAAAATGTACTAATATATTAACTAAAATAGCTTTTAATCATAGACAAAGTTATTTAAATTAAAAATAATGCCATGATGCTTTTACAAATTAACGGACAAATTAATTGGCATGGTCGAAATGTATTAAAACCACTTTTTTCTTAAATATTGCCTAAACAAAACTCCTTAAAAATGGTCGGTATCCAGGGGCCTTAGCTTTGCTAATTCTAATATAAATTATTCATAAGTCATTTAATTACAATTATTATTCTTTTAATCGGAATTTTAGTATCATAATATGAAATTTAATTTAAAAAATCAGATTAAATTTTTGATAAATATCATCTTATGAGGTATGCATGATTACTCCGTAATAATATGTGGTGCAAGCTACATAACATCCACCAATAATAATTGTGTGTTGTATATAAATTCCGTATACGTTCGTATTTCTGTGAGGTTGCTGAATTTTAGTCGGGCGAGATTTTGTCCACTGGAATTTTGAGATGTAATGGTTTATAGCAATTAGCAAGGGATATTTTACTTCACGAGCTTAGAAAGTCTTCAAAGGCCGTGTCTTACTTCATGGTTTGCAACACCGATGCGGCGAATTGATAAGAAATTGTGATAAAAACAAATCAAAATGATAAAAGCCACGAAAACAAAAATACCGGAGTCTGTTTATACTTAATTCATAATATTTCAATTGAGTAATGATTATATTCAAAATTGAAATGATTAAATAATATACAGCTGCCTATAATCAATACATTTAATTAACTTTTTTACAATAATGCATATTGTGTTTGTCCTGTAGCGTCAGTTGTACATCATAGTAGTGACATGATTTTGTATGCTTTGATATTAAGAACTCGCGATCTCCTACCATTGACATCAACCACTAACTATCATTGTAATGGGGAGAGTGCCATCGATCTTAAAGGAATCAACAGAATTGTGAAAAATGTCTTGAAGAGATCGGACACGACTAAAAACAAATGTTTTCTTCGTACTAATGAAAAAACTTACTAGTTAGTATTTTAAACACTTGCTTCAATGTAATTTTTTTTTTTTATAATTAAAAAACAGTAAATTAATTGCATAGTATAAACCTATTCATAATTTGTCATTAGTGTTTTTATTATATTTAAATAGATGAATAGATGAAAGTAAGACAGAAGTTCAATTAATTAATTGTATTATGGGTGGGTCATATTATGATATGATAACTATAATTTACATATTATTGTTTCTGATCAAATATTTTCTTTTTTAATTAATAACAATCATTAATGATTTAATAAAATATATTTTCAACATTTGATGTGTAGAGATGTTTATTAATGTATTAATTTTTTTTTTCATTTAAATAATATGTAGTTTTTAATATTATATACTTATAGTAGTTGAAAACAATTTACAAATAGTTTTGTCATGCTAATATTCAATTGAATCATATTATGTACTTTGTGTGTATAAAAGTAGTTAGTTTATTAGTAGTTGAAACAAATTTACAGAATTTACAAAATAGATTACACTATTTAATTTTTAAAGCTTAAAGTACATGTTGTCGACAAAAATAAATATAGGTCAAATGAGTTGTCAATTTCAACTTACTTGCAATACAAAAAGGGTTCAATGGCCAAAAACCTATTTTTTCTGTAAAATGTTTTGTGTTTATATTTTCTAATTACATTTTGTGTAAAATATCTTGTTGTGAAGAAAACTTTACACAAAATAATTTCTCTATATTAATTAATGTCTACTAATATATGTGTAAGTAATGATTGTTTAATTTTGCAGTTTTCTACCATGTTTAAACATCATATGTATGGCAATGTGCATCTCATCATACCCTGAAATATTAGCATACAGCTTTTTAGAAGAACTAGCCGGAGAGTTCACAAAAAGATATGACCGTTATAAGGTTGAACAAGCTTTAAGGCCGTACAGTCTTATTGAATTTGGTAAATTTTATTACTAGTTTGTTGTAAACTTGGGTTTTCAAGTTGTTTAATGTTTTTTTTTTTTTGCATTAGATACTACAATACATCCTATACAGCAAACGTACAACAAACCACAACAACTCACTGCTAGAATTAACTTAGCTGAAATTACACGAGATATCAGTTTGGATCCACCTCAAGAAGTGTTCATTGTTGAAGCCAATTCTATCAATAAGAATCTTACGCCCCAAGTTATTCCTCCAACTGTTAGAGGTAGAGTATATGAATATGTTTAATATTACATTAATTATTTGAAAAAAATTAATTATATAAAATGCTTTTTATTTTGACTTTAGTTGGACCATTACCTACGTTAGAACCGTTATCGTTTTTGGATAAAACAGCTATTACCTTAACATTATTTCTAATCGCCTACAGTATACTTGATGTGTTGGCAATCTTAAATAATTGGACTTCAGAGGTAAAAATAATTTATTTTTGATATGACTAACTAAATCCAGTGATGAATTCTTTGTGTTGAGACATTCCAAATTCTTTAGTATAAAAATCCCTTCAGATAATATCATTTGGTCAATCCGACTAAATCAGGTGTCGCATACAGGGTGTCTCTCAAAGATTTAAGAATCACTAATTAAATCAATTTTGTTCTAGTGAATATTTTTAAGATTTTTTTTAAAAATTAATTTATACTCATTTGCGCTATAAATACCACGGTTTGTACTGCTCTTAACTTTTACTTTTTTTAATAATTTTGTATTACATTTTTTTTTTTTTTGTAACTTAGAGTCAAGATAGCCATTATGAATTATGAAATATGAAGAATAATTTGCTGACAATTTTAAGTGGTCAATAACCAGTTTTGGATAATTACTTTTTATGTTATTTAAGTTTAAAGTGTAGGATGGTTGGTAGAGTGAGGTAGAGTAATACTTGCAGATAAAAATAACTCTACGCACTTACTCTACCGCACTCCACCTCCCATCCTACACTTCAAACTTAAGCAACTTTAAAAGTAATTATCTTTTTTGACCAGTCAAAAATTCCAGCAAATTATTCTTAATAAAATGGCTATCTTAAATTAAAAAAAATCAAAGTAACCAAAAACAAAATTTAAACAGTTAAGAGCAATACAAATCAAGGTGTTTATAGCGCAAATGAGTATAAATTAATTTAAAAAAAAAAATCTTAAAAATATTCACTAGAATAAAAGTTATTTCATTTGTCTAATCTTTGTGGGCCACCTGATAGGATTTTAGTCAGACGACATAGTCCGTCTTACATCTCTAACCAAACTATCCTGTTAGATCGTGTTTATTGTTTTGCATAAATAGTGTTTACAATTTTTATTTAATATTTATTGTTATTACAGGAAGACAATATATCGTTGGATAATGGTTGGCTCAATATCTGTTGTATTCTTTTACGTCTTGCTCAATTATATGTACTGACACAAAAACAATTGTACAGATGGGGAAAAGGATGGACTTTATTTATTATATTATTAGGTTTTTGTTGGTTTTTATATAGCAGTGAAGACATATGGGGTATAGCTGTAGTTATTAGCATTACTTTCTTAACGCATGTATGCATATTAAGACGGAAAATTGCCATAAAGTTACCACAATATCAGATATAAATATTCATGTAACAATGGAAAATAAATTATTTTTTTAACCATATATGTACATATTTAACATTAACAAGAACTGTTACCTATGTACACTAGCACAAATATTGTTAACTATATAATGTGTTTTTATTGTAACTGCAATGATTTTTTTGTACTAAAAATTATGAAACAAATACATATTTATTATATTAATGATTAATGTAGTTTAATATTTTATTTATAAGTTTTGGCTTTTTTGGTTGTATAAGATGGCTTTAACAAAAAACAATCACTCCTTGTAGAGTAATCAGATTTTGATATTTTTATTTATTTAACGAATAGACGTCCAAATGAAAAGAGGAAGAGTTCTGATAATGCACATCGACCACCTATTTTTGATTCGTTCATAAAAAATGACCAAATTTAAAGGTTAAAACATAATACTTTAGTAATATTGTCTTATTACAGTGCATAGATATCAAATTGTTCAAAATCACATTACTCAGCAAACTGCAGGAGACTTCCCTGGTATAAAAGTATAACAAACCCTTTAGAACATATAACATAGCTTACTTTAGCAGAATATAAATATATAACATTTAAAAATGCCTTAACCGTTATAATACTATAATGAGACGTAGTAAGTAGTAACTCCAATAAAAATATATTTCCTACTTTATAATAAATTAAAAAATAGTAAAACTTTTTATTTGTACAAACGTGTTATTTTTTTTAAACAGTATTTAGGTTGATTATATTAACATATACTGAAATAAACTCTTGAGTAAGATTATATTTCTGTAATTAGATGTAGAAGATAAAAATATAGAATAATGTTTTGGACAGATTAATTTTTAACAACAACATAGCATAATTTGTGTGTATCACACTTATTTAAATAACAATAATATTTATAAATTAAACAGAATTGCAAATAAATCAAATCTATTTGAACAAATTACAAAAAATAAAACAAAGTAGAGCTTTAAATAATAATACACCTTTATAACTTAATAGTCACTCAAAGATTAACAGTAAAAATCATCAAACAAAGCATCATCACTCATCTCTTCGAAAATGCTTTGGATGACGGATACTTCATTATTTACATTTTTTTCATCAGTTTTGTAATCGTCACATTCATTTCTTATTTTCTTTGCAGGTGGCTCTTCTGGCACACTGCAGGGATTGCTTTGCAATAAATGTTGTGCCATTGGTATTTTAGGTTTAAAGAAACCCTTTGAAGAGTCATTAGGAATACTTGATAATTGTTCTATAGCTGAAGATCGATGACAACCTTGTTCAACATTTAATTCGACTGAACTATCATGAAATTTTAAATTACTCAGAGCAGCACTTCGATCTATAATTTCACAATGCTCCGTTTTATTCATATTTTCCAAATTAATCACATTCCATCGTTTAGCAGCATCGACAATTTGTTTGTTTGTTAGATTTGTCAAACGTGTAACTATCACTTCCTTATTATCATCTAAAATAAATAAATATATACCCAATAAAAAGCTTTTTAGTTTAGATAACTTTAATTTTACCAGCTGAATAACTGTATACAGAGATCATATGATCACTTGTAATGTTTAGAGTAAACCCCTTTACAATTCTTTGACACGACACGCCAACATTTGATAAAACTAAAACAGTTCCTGCTTTTAATTGGCTACTGAGTTGGGCCCAAACGTCTCTATGAATAGTTCCTCCGATTTGTCCGGTTTTATCAGCTAAAAGTACTGTAGGATCTGGAGATAAGCAATCGATTTCTTGAACTACAGAGACAAAAAATGGTATTTTATAAGTGAAAAATCGGCCAGAGGCTGTAAATGGAAGCAACTTTTGTTTTATCCAAGCCACATTATATTTATCTAACAAAATATTAATATCCGTAGTAATAAAATCAGATAGGAACTGTTGATAAGGCGATGAAGTAAATGATGAATCGTTTAATGGAACACACAATGTCTAAAAATGAACATAGAACAACATTAGTTTATAATCATAATCCAAAAATAAATATATGTAAAATATAATACTCGCTTCTTCATTTTTTTCATTTTCTATAATATTTGTTGATACATCTAAACACTCTAAACTTGTGGGATCGTCAAAAATTACATTTTCCTAAAATAAAAAATAAAAAAAGGAGTAGTAGTAGTAGCTATTATGAAAAAAAATACTGATTACTTATCAAGAACTGTTTATATTTCTTATTATACTAAAACCGAGTTTTTATTTTTTTTATAAATAAATAATTGAATTTGTCAAACATTTCAAGTGCCAAAGTATAAAAATTGAACTTTATAATTTGATTTGTATTTTATTCATTACCGGAAACACTTAAACATCTTTTTTAAATGTTAAATACAATTGTTTTTTTTTTAAAGTTATAAATAACTATTCCTTACTTGAATTTCCTTTTTAATCTCATGTTAATATTTAATTGATAGTCAAGAATTTTATACATCTTACATTTTCTGATAAAAGTCCAGCGGGTCCTGGAAATTTCCGTGAAGTACTTTTTGGTGTTGTTGACTTTACACTGGTTACAGTTGTGTTAAACGAGTTAATGGACATTGATTTATTATTATCTATAAATAAAAAACACACATGAAAGTAAATTTTTGTGTATAATGAAAATCCTTTGAGTAATTTTTACTTGTAATTTGAATTTAAACTACTATTAATAATTATAATTGCCTTTTTATATAATTTGTTAACACAATTTTTAATAATATGGCAAAATGTATAATATATACATTTATTTTAAATTACCTTTAGTGTGAAATGCTTTAAGTGGAGTAATATTATTATTTTCTAATTTGCTATCTGGTACCGCTACTGAATCAATTTGGGTATAAGAGGAGTTTAAAAATGCCTATAATGTTTAAAGGGTACTATTTTTAAATAAATGAAAAATTATACTGAAATAAATTTAGTTTGAACAATATTTAAAATTATACAACATAATATTGACATTAAAAATAAGTAGTGGTTATAACTGGTACATTTTTTATACTTACTTCATCGTCTGAATCAAAATCAGTGTCTAACTGAAACAGTGATGTACTAGCTTGTGAATTATAAAATAGCTTGCTTGTGTTTGATTTACTATCAGCCCTATTTGTGGACACCTAAAATGTGGTTTTATTAAGCATGTAAAAACTTAATTAATTTGTTATCACTTACACTGTTTTTTAAATTATTAATGTTTGATCTTTGGAAAGGTGATATGTTCTCTTTAGATTCAACATTTTGAGGTTGTAAGGGTTCTAATTCACTAATTGAATTTGATATATTGAAAAATGCCTATGTAACAGAGTATGAATATGTAAAACGTTATATGTAAAGAATACTGTAATAATAAATTAAATAGTTTAGTACATCGTCATCTTCTTCTATGAGTACGTTAGATGTGCATGACGTTGTCTTTAATGGTGATATGCCTGTCACCATTTGAGTACTAAGAAATACCTGCAAACAAAGGTTTCAAAAATATAAATTTTCATTTGACAGAAAATAAATGTAGACAATAGGTCATGTCATTTTGTTTTTCTAATCTATTTGTTTTATTCATATGAATTGCTCACTTCGTCATCTAAATCAAATTCTTCATTAAGTTCGAACATGATTGAAACTGTTGTTTCAACAAGCAATCAAACATTGATTCTTTTTTGAGAAATAATAATATTTATTTGACTTATAGTAACAACATTATCTATAAGTGTAAATATATATAAATATTATTTATAACTATGAAGTAATGTTTTTATAATGAACCAATTAGTCACTCATGAACTTTTTTGTTGACGGATACTTTAAATTATTCATTTTTACAATTAAAGTATAAACAATTATAATTACAGATGAGTTTTCAAATTCATGTGTACAATATAGTCATGGCGCGCACTGGTTAATTACAATGATTGCATATTATTATCTGTTTACAGCTGTTTATCACCAAAACAAATTTGCAAGATTACCAACTGCCAGTCGGTCGGAAGCAGTATTTAATATACTCAGCTATGATAATGCTATAAATCTATCGTCTATTGATACAAATGTTTCATAATTTAAGTATAGATTGGGTACAACATTAGCATGAGTATTTATTCATTTTGTTGTCAACTACATTGCTAATTGATAATTACAATTTATAAAATGTTTTTAGAAAAAAAAGAAATACATTTTGTGTTTTATCATACAATATATTATTATAATATAGTTTTTTACAATGGGCACACTGTACATGGTATAACCTCAACAATAAACAATTGCAGAAACTCTCATTTGTACTTAGTTAACACTTCACTGTTTATTTCTGTTTTTTCGTTAAAACTGAGGTCCTAATCCTATTAAAAATGGTAAGTTTTATCCAAATTTATCTGAATGATCCTCTAATGTTTGTTATTAATTGTTTCATTATTATATTTTAACAGTTTTATAAAAAAAAAATCTTAAAAATTGTTCATATTCAATTATAGATTTGTGTTTGGTTTAGATCTTAGACCTTTGACACTTGTTCGGACGTCGAATAACTTGCACGCAAACTTAATATTAATTGTTAATATAATATTATTTTTCAGGCCAAACGTACGAAGAAGGTAGGAATTGTAGGTAAATATGGTACCCGATATGGTGCTTCGCTGCGTAAGATGGTCAAGAAGATAGAAATCACCCAACACAGCAAATATACATGTTCATTTTGTGGAAAAGTAAGCTATTCATGATCTTTTATGTTTTTTCAAATTAATATTTATAGTGCAACTATGGGCATAGAAGATTTTAACTACTACAGTGCACAATATTTAAATGGATATAAATATTTAAAAATGAGTACTACATAATAATATATTTAGCTCTGTCTAATTCAACTCTAAGACAACATTCATCATGTTGCTATATGTTTTGCTTTTAAATTTTAGTTTCAAAAGTTCTGACTAAAAATAAACAAACAATTATTATCGATTATATTATAATAAAAAATGTTTATACATAGGTTATTTTTTCAACATTTAAGTATATCATCAAACATTTTTTAAATAACTGAAAATTATCTTATTTTACACATAATTATTTGAACTATTTTGATTACTGTGGTTGTTTTTATCCCAATTTTTCAACTTTTCAATGAAAACGAAAAAACCAATTTTTTAAATTATTAACTAAATTTGAATGACTATTACTCTGGAAGGTGCTTACTTATTTTGAAATACCTATCTATTCTCATTATAAAACCATATACCGGTACGGTGTGGCGTAGTGGACACCGCAGCTGCCGCAAGGCGCCTGAGGTTAAGCTGCAACTGGTACCGCTTGATCCCGGATGGGTGACCACCTGGGTTTTTAGTGGCAAACTACAACACTAGGCCGACCGGTGAGGACCAAGTTAGCTATAATCCCGGTCAATAAGTCCACTCAAAAATTATTTTATAAAACCATATTTGTTTTGATTCGATCAGGTTTAGTTTTTGTGTTACAGCTACTTCCAGTAAAATTTAATGTTTATCGTTATAACTCACTTTTTGGATTCAAGGTGTTTTGTTTTCCAGTAAAGTGATTGTGTTTTATGTTTGTCGAGTAAAGTGATTCTTGCATAATATCAAGAAAGTGTAAAAATGACCCGGATAAGTTTTGTTATATTTGTGGTGAAATTACTTTTAAAACTTAACTGAGAAAACTTTCACCAATAGTAAAAAATGTTTATAAACGTTATTTTGACTTTCCTGTCGGGCAATAAGAAGTGTGGGTTCCTCACATGTTTCGTGTTACAAGTGTCAAACTTCTTACTGGATGGGAAAAAAGATCTCGACTTTCGGAATTATAATGATTTGGATGGAACCCACATTCATTACAATAAAACTATTCGTATCCAAATTATTCTAATACAAATTCTTTTATACTAAACCTCGTTTCTAACATAATTAGTCAAAAGTTTTCATGTTCACACAAAAAGTGAATTTTTGTTGACCAGTGTTATTAGTCTGTATTTATATGTCTAATAAGTTTTTTTAAACTTTAATAATTGGGGTATAATCATTATTCATTGTTATAATTCTTGTGTTACAGGAATCAATGAAAAGGGCTTGCGTGGGTATTTGGTCGTGCAAACGCTGTAGAAGAACCGTAGCAGGAGGAGCATATGTATATTCCACAACAGCTGCCACTACTGTTAGGTCTGCTATCAGACGTTTGAGGGAAGTCAATGACTTGTAATTTTTAATGATTGATTATTAACTAATATATACTTGTCTACGCAAAACATGCATTTTTTTTTTAAATGTTAATTGAAAGTTGATGAGACATTAATATTAGCATGATAGGTTTGTTTAGTTGATTTAATGTTACACATAAAAAAAAATTGGTTTTCTTACAATTTGTATTATTATACAATTTTTAATCTTCGCTTTATACAACTATCGAGTAGGCGAAAAGACATTTTTAAAATATCCTTTAAGTCAAATTAACTTTTATAATATTAATTATTTAATTAATATTAACTTATTCAGTGTTAAAAAGTAGCTTATCAACTTTCTATTCATACATGTTTTATTTTAATATTTTAAATTATTATTCACATAGTTAATTAGTTTTGCATTACATGCATTTCACTAATTTTTTTGTTTTTATAAATAATTTTATGATACAAATAAAGGTGTAGTTATTAATTTTATTTTAAATTATGCAAAGAGTTGGGCCGACTTGAAATTGAATTGCTGTTAACTGTTAAGGGTTTCTATATTATTATTTAAATAATTTTAAAATTTAATAATAATTATTTAAATAGGTCCTAGGCATTAATAATAATCTTATTAATTAAACAATTTGTAACACATTTTTTGTTTATTTACAACAAAATAATATAATATACTTGTAGATGGTTAGAATATCCTTAGTCGCATAACAACTTTAATTAAATATAAAACAAATTATAGATATTTGCCAGAAAAGTGTATAAATAATGATAGTCTCTGCACATCTGTAAAATGAGTCTGTTTATTCAATACTCCCAAATTTGGTACCTATACTGTATCGAAAGAGTTGAAAATGAAAATAGAGTATTAATGAATCAATTTCATTCTAGTAGGATTCCATATCCTACTTGCTGACTAAAACATAAAAATCCAAACAGGGTAGTCAATGTAAATATTAATTTTGGCAAACAGTTTGTTTCTTTTAGTTAATTTTTACTATTAAAGTAAACACATTAATGACATTAAATATCTTCTTTGTGATAAAATAATAGTAATGTTGTGGTATAGCATGATTCGTACAGTTTTTAATATTTATTATTGTAAGTAGTTACGTTTTAGGTGTGATAAAAAAATGTTACTACAGTTAAACAAACATATTTTTTAAATCTCAAATAATTATTTAGTTGGAGCTGTTGATGGCCTTAAGGCTTTCTTCTATTTGTCCTGTCCACCGTTAATATGTTAATTGCAGTGCCACTGACGTATTTTGTACTATTTTCAGCGGACATAGATTTTGAGTTATTTACCCTTGGCGAAGATGACTTCCGCTTTATCATTTTGGGTGTACTGATGTTTTGAAGTCTACCGTCATCCTAAAACAAATCAAATGTGAATATTACGAGAATGGAGAATAATTAATAATGATAGATATTATGTTTTTTTATTCAAGAGTTTGTTTTGACTGCTCTAAACAAAATGGACAAAAGATTGTGGTATTCACCTATATAATTGGTTTTAATTTGGTTTGCGAAAAATTAAATAATTGTTTGCACTTTATCAGTAGTTGCACAATAGTGTAATTAGATAACTTAAAATTATAAAATAAATCGAGATAGCTACAATTCTAAAAATAATATATTTTACTTCGAATTATAAAAAACCATGTACCTATTGGAAGTAAAGGGAACAAAAATAAATAACTGAATATTACAATGTCGAACAGTTCTCATTACTCCTTAAAAATGGGCGGTGCAACGCCCTCTTAAGGTTTTTAGACGTTAAAAATTTGTAGTCGATTATTTTAAAAGTAAATTTATATATTGTTAACAGGACCTTAAAAAACTTAATAAATAATGACTTTTTTTTTTAATTTTAAAAAAGGTAATAAATTAATATTTGTATAGAATTATCAACTCTCGGCATTCATTTTGTTAGTTCAAATTAACAAACAGACATAAACCTGTTCAGCGTCCATAAATTGTTTTAAAATTCTCTTGAGTTCCACGTTTTCGGCTTCCAACTTTTCCACTTCGGTTATCTTCTTGTATCGTACTGAAATTTTCAGTGCATGTATGTAGTTATTTTTAATACATTTTATTATTCAAGTTAATGTAAATGGGTTACAGTGTAAAATTTGGTAGTATTTTTTTATGGCTTTTTCAAATACGTCCCATAGTTGGACACGATCTTCAGGAAACGCATTTAGATATTGTTTCCAATAGTGGTTAATATCCATTTCACTCAACGTGTTCGTATTGCAATTTTTGGCTTTATTTTTCGGGCTTTGATTTGAGTTCTTGGGGTTTGTAAGGTGTATTGTTTCTTTGACTGCTTTTAAATAATCAACGTCTGTCATTAAAAGCGGATGCGTTGGATCGTCACACGGCCGAAAATTTTGAATCTCTGTGAACAAAATATGGTATTTATTTTAATGTTTAAAATAACGTCTAATAACCAGGTTTTGGCTGAAAGCATTTCGGTTTTCGATCTTTGACATTTCACGAAACTAAATTGTAAACTTCCTATCAATGATTTTGTTTGGTCTAATCTTATGCACTTACGAGAAGGTTTAGAGTCATGAGATATCTTGACCGTTGCAGAATCATTTTCGCTGGGCATTTGTTCAAAATCCGTCAATGATACAGAGACTATAATATTTTGTTAATAAAAAAAAATGTTACGTTTAATTATTGTCAAAGGTTTCAAACAGCATAAGGCAAAGTAAATGTCATACAACTTGTTAAAAAAAAAAGCTGTAGTTAAAGGAAAAGGGTGTTATAAATTAATTTATTAGTTAGGTATGTTTACTTGTCAGAACTGACTCGTCAGAATCGTAGTTAGTACGTTCAAAGGACGAACACCGCGGCTCGTGCGACCCAGCTTCTGTGTTGGTTAATGTTGATCTTAGTTTTAAAAGCTTTAATTTGTCTTTTGTGTAAATTCTGAAAAAGTAAAAATGTTTACTGTGATCGATAAAAAGTTTTCACAGCAACGTTAACTGTTGAAAAATCTTGACACTTCTAGAAATAACCGCCGAGATACTTTTCAAGACATTACAGAAAACTATGATATTCAGTTTTATAATAAGCACATAGTTGGCCATTTATTAAAGACATAAAACTACATTCAGACTTGCGCTGTATTGAATATCGATATCTTGGATTAAGTTGACTAATTAATGATCAACGACTTAGGTCGTTCCCCGAACTGTTTCTCACGCTAAACTCTTAAAGTGCCAACGTTTAAATAAATTTAGATGGAACGACGATTACTTGTTAAACACATTAGCGTTTACTGACAGAGTTTTTTCAATGTCATCTGCATGGTTTTGAGCGAACACGGCAATGTCGCCGATCAGTTGGTTTTCCGTTTGGTGTTCCCGTGTGCTTTGGTGAAGGATAAATAAAAACTAATCGTTATTTTGAAACTTGTAGGTATTGCAAAAACAAACCTATGATCGGTCGAGACCTTCCCCTCTTCCAAACACCACGCCACTGGTCCTCGGCAAACCTCACAGATCACTGACGATTTCACACGTGAAATCATTAAATTCCACGCGTACATGTTATTCAGACCACAAACTGCCATGATGTTGTAGAGAAGCGAAAGAGTTTTTTCGGTACTAGAATCAATTATTTCCATTAGTTGGTCGTCCAATAAGAATGTACAGTTTTTAAGCGTCATTTCTAAGATGAGTTTTAACAAAGCACGTTCTCTGCGACGACCGTACGGTCCCGTTGAAACGGCACTCGTGAATTCGGTTAAACAAGCTATAAAAAAAAAATCATGAATATTTTAAAAAACATACTGGGGGGTATCGACAGTAAGTTCGTAGCTACATCGAGAGCTATCTTCTAAATTTGGCCAAAAGTAGAGGTTCATTGTGATAAATAAATAATAGCTGTCACCATAATTAGGTATAACGTGCTACATTTCAGAGAGACGTACCCTTGACGTTTTCAGTTTTGGTGATAGTGTGGTTCTTGTACGAAGAAAAGTCGTCTACTTTTAAACTCTCATGTGTCGGGGGTGATTGCCATTCGACGCCCAAGTACTCTTCGTGTACAATTTGATCAATTTTCAAAATCTTTTCATAAACACAATTTTAATAATTAGTTAATCGTTATTTAATATTTCCCTTTTTTACCTATATACTCTTATCATACCCTTGCTAGCAAATCGCCAATTTGTTCCTGGGAAAAATCCCATAGCTCCCTAAAGGACTTCCCTTGAATTTCTGCAAACCTTTCTGCTTTGCTTTCATGTCGCTCAATGTCATCGTTGAGTTTCTCAATGTTTTCGCTTAGCACAGACACTTTACTTTCAAACTCGGCTTTTGTTTCTCTTGCCAGTCTTCTTTTGATCGACAACACGTCCTGTAATCTTAGAAACTTATAATTGTATGTACACAACTATCATCATTGATCTAATAGGCGACATTTTATGCTCTGATACTTGTTCATTTTCCTCCTTTGAGCTGCTTTGGCGTAAGCGATTTCTTCTTCTCTCCTTTTCAATACCTGATAGTTGTAATTAAGTTTTTCTACGTTTTCCATGCATTTCATTTTGATCAATTCAAATTCTTTTTGGATGTGCTATGGTTAACGTTTACAATGCTGATAAATAAAAATAATATTGTTCCTTAAATTATTAAAATACATTACGTGCAATTCTAAGTTAAGTTCAGCTTTTAACGTTCGAATACTCTCTTCGTTTATTTCGTACTGTTTCATTATGTTAATCTCTTTTTTGTCAACCATAGCTAACCGTTCGTCAAACGATCTCGTCTCGGCTAAAATCATCTGATTGTAAAGATCGTCCCATGCCATGTTGGCTTTGTTAATTCTTTGTTTTCTTTGTTTCTCTATAGTGCACTACAGAAGAAATTTAATACAAATTATGTCTAGTATTTATGTTTCATGTCAATTTTTTTATTGTAATACTTACTCTTATAAATTGAATATGATTATTGTATTGTTTCCTTATAAACTTTACTTGATTTTCGATTCTTTCTTGCAGAATCCGTACGTCTTCACTTTGGGCGTCTTGCTCTTGTAGAAACCTAGAATCCGACTCGGCCAAATCTTGTTTTAGCACTTTGATCATTTCATTCTTTTGTTCAATAAGGTAGAGCCCTCTTGCTAAACATACATACAATTTAATTATTGAGAAAATCTCATTTATTCACTCTCTTACTTCGTTGAACTTCTGATTGTTCATAGATTTCTAACGCGTCGTTTTTCTTTAGTATGACTGGCCATTGAGCACTGATTTCCTTAAATTTAGAGTTAGCCGCTTCTGATTCGTTTTCAACCGCTTTTAACCGTTTATCTCTTTCTAATCTGTCTGTTTCTCTGCGATTGTTTTCACGATTATCATTGGCCAGTAATACGTTTGTCACTAGTTGCGAGCATTCTTCCATGTACTCGGAAAGTTCAAATTTACTAGACTCTATTTGTTTTTGAACGCTGTCTGGTATTTCTTCGAGTTCTTTGTTAATTGTTTCATCTCCATTCCATCTAAGCAATAAACACACCACCTATTTAGATGCCAGTACTCAATGACGGACAATTTTTTCATAAGACTAGACATGCGACTAAAGTGTTTCATATTTATAAATCAACTTAGCAAAAGAAATTCATAGCCATATATTATATTTATTTTCATCGTAGTTTTGCAAAAACATATCTCAAGAGATGGACCTTTCTGAGGCACTGAGTAATTAAAGCGTAAGAGATATATAATCTTTATAACTAAATTTAGACATAGGTGATACTTAACAAAGTTATTAGAATCCGAGACATAGGATATTGAATTTTAAACTTTAGATAATTAATTTTTTATTAAAGTCATAATCATAGTGTAACGTCTGTAAAAAATGAAACAGTCATTCGATTTTGTAAAAAATATATTTTCATACTACTTTGATAAAGTGGGTTTTAATGCAATTTGAATATGTTTCTAGTGGCTGACCGACACAGCCAATAATCTTTTTTTTTCGTACACTATAAAGAAGTTTCACTTGAAAAAAAATGTATAATTTTTAATTTTTTTACAGACAAAGTATATACTTGTAATGTAACTTGAATCAGATTTACGTTATATTATTGTATAAATAACATTTTTTTAATGGCAATAAACAAAATGTTAGTAACAAATTGTAGTTTAGGTATACAACTGGGTCAACTTGGGAAATAAAAGTGTAACACTGTTTTTCATAAATTTGTATTAATGTAAACTCTCAAATTTTGCAATTCCATAGGCCATTATTAATTTTTATAAAACTGACAATAATAACAGTATTTATCAAAAACGGTTTAAAAATATTAAAAACATCAGCTGTTTTCATATTGCCAAAAATTGAACAAATTTGATTAAAATTTATTTTTTTTATTGAGAATTAGGTATCTAAAAAGTATACATCTTGGCAGTTACATTAAACAATATTAACTAGTAACAAGTAACAAGTATACATTATATTGGTTTTCTATATAGTATTAAATTAATATAGTACAATATTAAAATTTAATACTATATAATGGATTACTACATCTCCTTTAAAAGTTGTTTTTAAATATATTTTGTTATTTGTACAATCTGTTCAAGTTATTCGAACAATAAGCAAATGTATGCATACTATTATTAAAATGGGAAAAGCAGAGTGGAATGTTCTCCCAGTGGAGGTACATCAATTTTATAAGTATAATTTTAAATAGCTTTTTGCCTTATGTAACTAAACGTGTTTTTAATTTTCATGTAAACAACCAAGGCTTAAGTCTAAAAATCAATGTGACATTAATGGTGGTGAAGCTAGTTTTAAAAATAAGATTTAGAAGGTCGGCATTTAAGAAAGTAAATTACATAACCATAATATTTTTGAATTTTGAGTCTATAGTATACAATATATCTGTAAACTAATAAAAATATTTCAGAGATCAAGGGGAGCTAAAAATGTATTTACTATATTTTCGTATCTTCTTAAAAAATATAGTTACAATGTACTATACAATCTTCTTTAGTTTTTATATTTTTTTTGTTTGAATTGCATTTTGTTCTATTTTTATAGCATTTCAATTATTGTGTATTTGTTGTTATTTATGCAACCCTAAATAGTTAATTTTTCTTGGATTTCAATTTATAAAGATGTGTTTTAATTATTGTTTGTGTCTAACTTATGGTTTTTTAGTTTATTTTACTTAGGATCTCAGTGATCGAGTTTGAATTACATATAGCGCATTATTGTAAGAATCAGATTATAACTTCAATTTTTTGTTAGAAACATTAAAAAACTTATCTTATAATAAACTTTAAAATTTATTAAAAAAACTAATAAAACCAATAAAACCAGAGGACAATGTTCACGTCGACGTGTTGAAAATGTATAGACGAGGATGCACAACATAAATGTTATTACCTACTGTTTCACAAAGACCTCTATGGGTTTTAATTTTTAAATATTTTTACCAAAAATTCCGTACTCATCCCTTACTATTTTTAACTACAACGCCGAGGTGTCATAATAACCCTGTTAATAGGCCTGCCATACGAATAAATAAATACATATTAATAGGCCACAGAATGGACATTTATGTAAATGAACTAAGTACATTGTGTCACACATATTTTTATGCTGTATGTAATTTTGTTTATCTAATTTCAAGTATCATCAAAGTTGATCAATAGGTCAAAATAAAGTTTTAATGAAGTTTTCAGTTATGAATTTGTAATAAAACAAGTTTTTTAAAATTTTGGTTGTTTTGAACAATAGGCTATTTGGGATTTTACGACATCTAAAGATAGAGATTTAGTCTACCAATGTATGTAGGTTTATTAAGTTATTAATAACATTTTTAAAATTAAAAACGTTGAATATTTTAAGTAATATTAATATAGTATTTACCTGTTCTCCTCAATCGCTTTTGAGGTATTCATTGTTTTCCTAATTTTATTTTCTAACTAGTTTTTATTTGTATAAAATAGGTTATCTGATTCCTTTTTTATTTATTTATTGAAGTATTCAATTGTTATATTTTTTACCGTACCTACGCGTATTTACAATTGCAATTAAACCGGTAAAGAGCTAGAACTGTATGAAGCCCATACAGACTGTGAGTGAATCATGCAACTTACTTATTTCTCAATCATGCGATCGTCATAGTAACTCATATATAAATTGTATTGATTAAACATTAATACAAGCACATTTTAGTGGGGAACTTTTGATTATATCAGGGATATCATTTACTTTTTGAAAGGGGGAACATTCTGACCAGCTAATGTTAAATTAAACCATTCCGTTTTAATTTTGATCACATTATACAGTTGGCATTTTCTTTGATCCTTAAAATTATCTTATCATAGTCACATAAATATAAACTAAATCCTTAGTTACATTTGTTATAAAAACAAATAGTTTTGTTTAAAGTTAAATTAATAAAGTTAAACTACTAATAAATAGAAGCAAATCTAATATTTTTGTTCCGAGTTTTTTGTAGGTTGCACGAAAAAAAGATCTGCTTGAAATTTAAAACAATTAAATCATTAATATTCGAAATTATAATACAAATCTTATTATTATTTGTAATTTACATATTATAAATTATAATTATGAATCAAAATGACAATACTTTAAAGAAAGTGATTTATATTCATAGTAATATTGTTGTTCTGTTTTTAAGTAGTTTAGGTTATGTAGGGGGTCAACACTGAAAATAGTTTTGGCAAGTCTTACTACTAACGTGTTGACGCCAACTCTCGTAAGCTCAACAGTCAACTGACTGTAAAAGTCTATCAAGCCGTGACCTAGAAATGTATCCCCATGCCATTGAAATACTACAATTAATATATTACTTTATTATATTATCTTATAGTAAAATATTATTATATTATAGCTTCCTCTATTTTATATATATAAAAAAAATGTTCATTAAACATTTTCTTGAAAGTATCACTTAACAAAAGGTAGGTATCGAAATCGACACGATCGCATACCAACAACATGTAATCGTTAATAATTTATAGAAAATATAGGTACTTGGTTTCAATTTTAAAGATTTATGTCGTTCATCTAATTGATTTGTTTGCATACATGACTTGAGCGCTTTATACCTATGAAATAATAGAGGACTCAACATTAAATAAAAAAATATTTATATCACGTGAATAAACAACCCCATTATTAAGAATTATTATTTAAAAGTTGTAAAATAATTAATGGTATTGCAATTTTGAAAATGTCGTTAGACTTATAGTTTTTGAGGTCAGTAATCTATTCTAACCATTCATTCGAGTTGGACAAGATAATTTTACGTCACGATTTTGTACCTGTATACATAATTAATTAAAAGTTGTAACTTTATAATTACTCATAACGTGTAAAAACCAATAACATAAACGTGAGTTTGTTAATTTTATTTCGGAATTGGTAATTTGTAAGATTACATGAATAGTTAAATTTGATTTTTGAATGATAATTATTTTGTGTTGGATGTAATAATGATTATTAAGATCAAAATGATTCAAATTAATCTTAATTTTAATCAAATATATTTTAAATGATTATAATTCGTATTAATTGGTAGCTCTGCGACGACGATACGTCATATTAAAATAACTATTTATACTAATCGGTTTAATGTCAATAGTTATTAGCTATAAAATGTTTTTATGACGTGAATATTAAGGCTGAAACTTGGATTTGAATAAGCGAAGTATAAAGTCAAAACTCGAAATAACGAAAAAGAGTGAAAGCTGATAATTTATACCAAATTAAATGACATAAACCCAAAACCAAATACTCAAGATGTCCTCAAGAATATATCATTAATCTTCATCCTGTGATAACTAATTTATTGTTTATTGTTATTGTTATTGTTTCAGTTTTCACATTTATTTTTTTAAGCTAAAAGATTTTTAAAAATTGATCGGCATATGATTATGTATCATGACAGATGAAACATGTCGAAATATATACTCACTTTTATTGATGTGTACAGCAAACCAGTTGTTAAAACAATTTCAAAATCGCCGAATATTGGTATTGCACCATTTAACATACCTACTATACATTTAATACAATTTTAAAACTACAGGTTACTTAGGTAACAGTTCTGTAAATTCAGATAACCCTAAAGTAATTTGAGGACAAATTATTGTTGATGTGATTTATTTGGATGTTACGCTATTATAACCTTTTGTTTTAAAGAATATTAAGCGGATATTACGTCTTTTTCATCAATTTTTTCTGCTAAAAACCACTGTAGAGTGTAGACGTCATTATTAAATATATTGTAATGATACTTAATGATCGAGTAATTTCCTAACTAATGGTCGTTATTACCTCCGATCTGTAACTTTTGTGATGAAATTATTTTTTTACGTTATAAAGTGAATATAATTTTTAATTGGTCAATTACTTTAGTATATACGTGCATACTACGTACGTAGGTATTAAAATTATTAATTTTTTTTATAATATGTTGTATGTTACACTTATCTGATACGTTCAAGTGAAATGACCTAAATAATATATGTTGTATATGTTTAGGTGTATATTGAAATCACAAAATATAAATAGATCGATTAGTAATTACCAATTTTTATTTTTTATTCAATTATTACGTTGGATTATGATATTTGTAGGTCAGCGTAGATACCTCATTTTGTGGTCGAGATTCTTTTCCGCCAAAAATAAAATCTAATTCAAGTTAGTCGATGAATTAAGTATAAGTAGCCCATTTCTAAAAATAACTATCAAAACTTTTTGAAATTCTGGGAAAATAAGAAAACATTTTTAAAATAACTATACTTAGTTTTTTTCAACTATGTTTAAAATTTAAAAACTAAGCCAAGTGGAAATAATAGCATAAAGTATAGAACAATTACAATTAATTCTTTATAATTCTGTTGTACCTACCTGTAGTTGTTTAAGAAATGGATAAGCATTTTTTTCTTTTCTTCCATAAATTTTGAAAAGTGTTGATAATTTTAGTTTTGGAAATGGACTACTTATACTTAATTCATCGACTTATTTGAATCAGATTTTAATTTTGGCGGAAAACGGCCATACCCCAGTTTATATTGACAATTATTCAAGAGCTAAACAACTAGATTAAAATAAAAATTAATAATATAGGACCACGAGACATTTTTTATTTAACTGTTCTAAATAGTTACTGAGTTTTTCAGCGCTATAATTAATTTATAATAACGTGATTTCTAAAAAATACTTTTTAATTAAGATTTGTGTTATATAGTTTCCGTTAAGGTACACCATTGCATTGGCGTAATGTAGGACATTGTTTTAACAAATTATTTGATAAATCAACAATAGGTGACGTCTTTTTTTGTTCTTTATATTTGTTTTATTATAGACAAATAGCCTATTTTATAAAAAATATTTATATAACATTGTTTAGCTTTACAAAAAATTCGCCTATCAATAAAAATAAAATAAAATAATATCACATGTTGGTTGTATTTACAATTCAGACACTATTGTTATTTAATAAATAAATCGATAAATAATTATAAATATTAAATAAGATAATAATTGTAAGATTGGTCTAATAAAATGTTATTAAAATTGGACTTTATTTTCACAGTTAATGAGCTGTTGTACAAACTATGAGTGAAAATTGGTTGTACAATAATTTTGTGCGCTGCATTAGAAAATAGCGGGTTCGTGTTAGGAAATACTATACTCTGTGCTTTTGTTCGACAGTATTATTGTTTATGGTAAAAAAAAATGTCTTCAGAAATTTACGGGCATATTTGTCTTCAAATTGACACGTCGAAATCGTTATACACAGATTAGAAGTTCACGTAAACACATGATGTGTCAACCTTGGTGGAAAGATGTGATAAACACGTTCTGGTTATTTTAAAATAGAAGACATGCGTATGGGTACATCTCTCCGTGGAATGACGGTTATACGCCTTTTGACGAAAACTTGCTGTAGGTGTAGTTTTCTATTGCTCTCTCTCTCTATATATATCTTTCATAGACTAATACTAACCACAGCCATAGGTAGAATGTTACCAAACATTTTGCGTTAAGGACTTCTTTGTTTCTGACCATTCATGTGCTATTTGGGACGTACGTCGACTACCGTACTGATTGAATACAACTGCTCTTTGGATTTGAAACTTTCTTCTAATTTTTCTGTATTCTCCGTCTTGTCCTTGCTGAACAGTTTTTCTACTTGCATTAAACTTTTACCTCTAGTCTCCGGCAAGAAAACGGCGATAAAGCACGTTGCCAGACCGGCCGCGCCGGCAAATAACCACATGATTTCGTCTGTTTCCAGGGCTGTCATCAAGGCGGGAGATATTTTTACCGTGATAAATATGAAAAAATATGCTAACGACGGTACAAGACCTCCCATAAAACCACGAACTTTCAACGGGAACAGCTCTCCGATCATCATCCAAGGTAAAGGAACCATACCCAACATGCTGGCACTGACATTTGATAGGATACAAACCAACGGGATCCAACTAAAGGGTCGGTCGTCTACTTGTAGGGAGCTGTACAAAAATTCATAGGTACCACATATAGCCATCGAAATCGCCATTAGCGTTGCGGACGTCATGGCCATGGTGCGGCGATTAAGGTGTTGGATACAAATGGAACCGGTAACGCTCATTATTAACCTCAGCAGGGCAACGATAATTGAAGCTAAATTACTATCTAACGTTGAACCCGCTATTTGAAAAAAGTTTACAGCGTAGTAGAGTACTATGTAGATACCACTGGCTTCTTGCAAGAGAAAAAAACATATCAGGATCAAGAACGGTTTCCACACCGTGGGTTCCATGAAGTCTTTTAGTGTTGGCGCTGGAGTAGGTCCTGAGTTCTTGTCGGCGTGTAAAGTATCCAAGATCTCGACCAATTCTTTGTCCGCTAACGCCGATTTCCGTCTTAGCCACATTAGTGATTTGGCCGCGTCTGTTATCCGACCTTTCGACGCCAACCAAGATGGCGATTCAGGCGTTAAATTTACAGCCATGAAGCTCAAAAATGAGGTTAAAGCACATAGCACAGAGACTATCTGCCACGTCATGATCGATCCTAGTGAATAAACAATGAGGACTCCGACGGATACGAAAATTGGTCCAAACGCTGATAAGATCCCTCGGTGTTTAGCTAAGCTCACTTCAGCTACATAGACGTAACATGCCGATGACATACCTAAACAATTAATTACAGTTGTAAATAAAAACGTTTTAGATAACATTTATACTAAAAATTTGATAGATTAATGCTGGTGAATTTCAGGTATCCTCGTTGCTAGTTAACTTTTTTTTAAAGAGGAAACAAAAATTAAAAAAACAATTGTTTTGCATTTCATTAATGAGAATAACAGGCTATGCATAACCTTGACAAACGTAAAAATATAAAAATGACTGATCACTTATAACAAATTTGTTTACTGCGGTGGACTTACCGATAGCAACTCCTGAGATAAATCGTCCTAAACATAAAACTGTTATGTTTGTCGATAATCCAATTATGGTCCAGCCAATTAGGAACGGTATGGATGTCAACTGAACTGTCGTTTTTCTTCCTAGTGTCTGCATGAAAAATCCTGACATTAGAGCTCCCATTGGATTTGAAATAACTCCTAGGCTAGCTGTAAAAGACAATTTTTCTTTTACTTATTTATTATTAAATGATACATTTTTTTTAAAATTAATTAAGTGAAAAGAACCTAGATTTTGTTATTACTGTATAATATAAACCAAAACAAAAGTAATTATTGGTTTTTGTTAATGATTTATCCCCGGGTTTTGCTTTAGAGACAGTGAAATTGTTAAAAGTTTATTACCAGCTCGTACAAGGTAATAAATATTAAAATAGTGTACAATTTAAAATGCAAAATTGAAACAAACGTTAAAATTATTTTAAGTTTTTACTTTTTGTGAGCATTTTTTTTTTTGCGACATGAATAAAAAATAAATAAACAAATAAATGTTTTAATAGGTCGCTAATTTGTTTGTATTAACTTTCTTTAGTCGTGCATTAGAGAAATGATACTCTCTGAAAATGGTAACTAAAAATCATTGGAATTTTAATGTACTGAAAAGTGAAGAACAATTTGTCGAAAATATCATGTAACCAAAGAAATAGGAAAATACGAACTATATAGTACCATCTTATTTCCTCAGACTGAGGTTATAAATAAGTATAGAGTAGTAAAGTTGTTGTCTAAAACTAAGTGGTTTACGTTCAATAAAAACAAATTATCATTTTTACCTTTTAGAATTTTAGTTGACAGTCGGAACAATAATTCATTTTTATCAATGTGTTCGGTTTAAAATTTATTGTTTTTTAGGAATGCGATATAGTAAAATAGTTTAACGATTTTGACTACCTGTCTTTATGTCCCATCATGTATTATACTCATTTGGTGGAAAATGTTGATAAGTTTTTATTCTTTAGTAGAATAATATATTCATATATTTTTTTTAAATTTATTGATTAGTGGGTTAAGATTTTAGTGTTATATCTAATAGGACGTATCACGAATATATAATGAAACAATACTTAAAATAATTAAATACTATTAAACAATACTTTAAAATGGGTATATGAAAACATAATCAAACGGTGTTTGTGTTTAAAACATCCCAATATAACAAACTGATGCAAGAATTTCTTAAAATGGGATTGATTATTATGAGAAACGTAATTAACGATAGTGGTGCAATGATTCGTGGCACGTGGTGCGAGTTATATAAGCAATTTTACACATTAACCTATTATATATTCAGGCTATCATTGTTTCCTCGATTGTACTGAACACTTTAGTTTTAAGATGCAATATTTGTAGACACATTGTGTAAAACACAAAACAAATCTCTCAAAGTACTGTCCTCATAATTTAGTCATATTTATTTATAATTTATAATATTATCATAAATTGGGTAAATAATCGGGTATAAAGTAGTTAAACAAATTGACTAAAAATGGTTAAACAAATTATTATAGTTAAAAAAATATATTAAATATATTCAAAATAGTAGATGTATTACTAATTTTAGGTAGATAAATTTAAAATCAATTTGAAAAATATCTATATGACCTTAAATAGTTACCGGAAAGTGTACCTATCTATTATTAAAGGTAATTGAGTTCATATAGATAATTATTAGGTTTTGAAAAATACAGTTTATGTTTATAGTTTACCATTAAAAAAAAACAATTATCTTTAAACTGGTAATTGTATAAAAAAAATGTGTAGAATTTAATCTATTGTATGGAACCTTCAATTTGTAAGTTATTCCATCGTTTGATATCGGTTGTTTCAGTATAAGAAATTCGGTAGATTTCACGCTAAAAGCAATTGCAAAAATTGGTTCATGTGATAGGATAGATTTTCTGTGCCACTCAAACTGTTCGTTGATTAGATTTATCTAATCGACCATGAATAGTGTCATAGATTAAGTGTATGTATTTATGAGAATAATGTTGTTTGATAATTTATTTCAATTAAAGTTTTCAAAGGTGTTCCTGGCGTTTTTGATTTTGTAATACCTACAACATAATTTATCACGACCCAATTTCTAGATTATTTAAATTTGATTTAATGCGTTAAACCTAAAATTAATTAATGTCTGTACGTTATAATTATTTAGGGCCATTCTGATATTCTAGGTTTCATAGCTTTAGGCCGTTGTAAGATTGAAAAATCGTTTCCAATTAGCTCCCCCGCAACTGCGGTGGTCTAAACACTATAGTCAATAGACGAATCAATCATGTGTCATTTAGGCCAGTAATTGCGTGCTAATACAGACAGGAACTTTCATATTTTTTCTTCACCATTTTGCAGTTTTATATTTATTGCGCGCGATTGTTATCGAACGTTTATACTGGATAACCTTGACCGCAACCTGGAGACACCTCGAACCCATAGTAGATAATGACATTGCTCTTAATGATTGGAATTATTATGGTTTGTGGCTGGAGCGAAAGTAAATCATACGGCACACGTGTTAGATAATACAATCTGTTAATACGCAGATCAGTACCAGAAAAACGTTTCCTCGTTGAATTACAGTTTCGTGGGAGGTATTTCTTAATAATTATACTTGAAACATGTACTTAATACAGCATATGAGTTTTACATTTTACACGTCATATTATGTATGGTTAAGTTGTTGTTCGTGGTGAGGTCGGATACCAGCATTTTTGTTTTGGATTATGCATAGAATGGACGTTTCATCGAACGACGGTTAAGTTAAAAATAGTACTATCTATAAGTTACCTATCCACGATGCTTCTGTGTTGTTGACCAGTATCGAGCTGCTGGAGTCGAGGAGTTGCGGTAAAAGTACTGCTGAGAACCCCTGGCACATGCCTACGGAAATTGAATTGACATGGGTAGCGACGGCGGACATAATCTGCAAAACGAAAGCATATATCATATTTATTATACGCATACATTATTATTATTATAAGCAAGACGAATTGCTCAGTTTTTTTGTACTAATCTGGTTATAAAAGACCAAAAAGCAAGAGCGAAGACTTGATTTCAATTAAATTGCCGGCGTGGTTTATGAACTCTGTCCGCGTGGGGTTCATTGAAGGACGATCTGACACAATGTTACATTAAAATTTAAAAACTAAGTGTATTTCCTTTTAGTACGCCTTGAACCTTGGTGATTTACAACTCAATCAGCTACCAAGACTTTTTGACGACTTGACGTACAAAAACACCGTGATTGATTGAGTCATGGGCCATTTTATGTACAAAACAATATCAGGTACGTTACCCAACATGATTCATCTGCGGTGCATCCATAATTCACTCAATATCTAAATCTTCAATTTTGTTGTAGATGAAAAACAACATCTTTAAAGTACATAGGAATTTTTTATAAAACTGCAGTTGGCTATAGAGGTGTAGGTACAAGTGGCTGAAACAACCGCTAAAATTGTTGCTATACAAATTTAAGTATAATTACTATTGTTATTTAAAATCTGATTTTCGATCATAGGAGTGTAAATATTACCTACTGACATTTGTTAATTGTTATTTAACATTAAAAGATAATTATTTCAGGTTAACGTATTGTAAAACATTCTACTCATGTCAATTTTTCTATTAAAAACGAATTTTTATCTACACTAATTAGTGATTACTAATAATTTACGAAAAACTCGTTAATTAATAATTGAGTGGTTAGCGTGTATGACGGCAAAATGTAATAAACTAAATTAAACTTGTTAGTGTGATATATACTGAAAACGTAACAAAAGTATTTAACGTAAGATGTGATCATAATTAATCAACCAATTTTATATCATTCATTTCTTAAGATTAAATAATTTATCGTTTATTACAATAGTTTTTGGTAATACATTTCTTGACATTATAATAAGTTCCTTTATACTAAATACTTTAAAGATAATACTTCAATGAATATTGTTTACTTATTAATAGCAGCATTTAAATTATTTGAAATCAATCGAAACTTACTACTAACGTAATATGTGGTTAAAAATTGGTTATTTTTAATGACCAATGCAATGTGCAGATTGGTTGTTTAAAACTAATTGTCAAACAGACATCAGTCATTACATATGCACGATCAAAAGTATAACAAAGTTTTATTTTTAGACGCCATTTAAAAAGACGATTTGTAAAAGAATTATAATAATATACCTGATGGTGCGGGGTACACTGAAACGCTTATTCTTTGTCACATAATTTAAGAGACTATGTTTATTAAAAAAGTCTACGGAGGTTAAAAATCTCAAATAAAAATTAGGCCACGGTCATCATTAGAAAATAAAGTTTATTCTTATTATCCTACGCAAAAACGGGAACATGTGATTTTAATTTAGCAATTGTAAAATTTAAAAATGTTTGAAAACTAAGGTCATCTCTTTGGCTATTTTAATGAGATAATTGATTATCGCTTAAAAACGTAACATATTTCTTGGTTTTTGTTTTACAATTTGTTGATTTGATTGAATTGAATATTTTTAAATCCAATTTTTAAATAATTATACCTCCGAGTTTAATATATACATATATATTTTTAGTTCCTAATTATGCAATGTTTATATGTTCGTATTTTATTTAATAGCGTTTAATTAATTTATGTGTTGGTATTAAATATAAATATAAATAATTTCCTCTTTCCTTCTGAATATTTTATTATGAAATTGGTGATAATACGATATCAAGCAATCTTACTATATTGTAAATAACTTCAATGACAGTAACTTAATATTATAATAATCCCATAAAAATTCAATGGGGAATAATTGTTTCAAGTATAATTATTATGTATTAGTATGCCATTGTCTGTACGAAAATAACGTTATTTTTTCTTTCCTAATGATTGTACTTTATTGCTCGTAAACATAAAACATTTATGTTATAATCTGGGAATATGTGACGTTTGCAAGTAAATAACATTTTTACATCCGACTCATTTGTTTTTGTCGATCGTTACAATTCTTTCGAGCTAAGACTTAAAATTGTATTTTTAAATCGCCTAAAGTATTCTTGAAGGATAAACCTACGCAAAAAAAAATGTACAAGGACGCAACAAGAACGTGTCTTAGCACTTATCGCGTGCAGATTATTTCATTTAGAGTTAAGACCCTACCGGTCACACGTACGTCAAAATTCAAACTTAAAATCCAAATTACTCAAAACGAGCGAATTGCGATAGAAATCGTGTAAGCGTGGATTTTGGTATGTGACCTTTTCACTTGCCTACCTAATCATAATATTTGTGCAGCTCATGCCTCATGTTGTAGTTATCTAAGAATTTTCACGACATAAGGCAAACTTAACATTAATCCTGTATCAAATTCTAAATAACACGCCAGACAAAACACAAATAACCTATAGGCCTGTAGGTTAGGTGCGTATGCAGGGGTCAAGTCAATGCTGTTTGATTATGAGCCGTATCCAGAGTAAATTAAATATGTACCATAATATGACACTATGTAAAGTTCTATAAAATAGGTCGGTAATTCCTGTTGAGATGATGCTGCGTACTACGTTAGATGATACTGTTTTGATGCCCCTTCATTCTCGATAACGCGACGTTAGATAATACCTATATAAATTGTCTACAATTGCATTTCGACCCAAAATAGCATGTCATACAACCCGTAACTTTCTTTTAATATAATATGATGTTATTTATACATTAGGTATGATGCATGATGAAATGACACAGTGTTTCTTTGACATCGTTATTTTTCAATTTGAGTGCAAATAAGTGGCACTTAGGTAGCAATTGAAATTAATAGTATACCACAAAATTGCGATTTTCAGACAAAATCCGAAGTGTCGTATATTAAAATTAAACGAAAAAATCATTGAGCTACATATACATGATCTCGATGAAATATAAAATATTATAAACATATATTGTGACAACAAAATTGCGTTTATAACATGTAATTACATATATTTATTTTATTGTTACATTATAATAATATTAAATTTTCGTTATTAATAAATTAGCAAGATAAGTATACTAAATTTACAAATATTGCGCGGTTATCAAGTGTTACACAGTAAACAATAACTTTTTTTTAGATATTAAAATTATACTTATTTTTAATACTGATATAATATTCTCGTGTTTATAAAACACCTCTAATCAATAAAGTGATCATTATTATGAATCGTACGTCATGTATTTGTATTGAATTTATATTGAATGATAAGTTGTAATAATATATATATCGTTATGTATAAAATTTTTCTGTGCGTGTGTAAGTATGCAAACTCCTTCTAAACGGCTGGACAGATTTTTATGACGTTTGTGTGCGCGATTAAGTTGATTCGAGAAAGGTTTAGATTCACAATTTGATCCGATAGAACAATTTGCAAAACATTATTATAGACAGACAATTAACCCTAATCGTATCCACCCTTATACTAAAAATACAATTTTAAGCATATTATTGTCTTTATAATGATTTTACTGATATTTGTATTTCTACCATCTACAGATTCATACCGAAGTGTTTATTTGAAAGTTATTTTATCACTTTCAGTCAATAAATCCTGTGGACCTGTGACTTTCCTGGCCTCAATATGCTCCGTCCCCACTATGCCTCAAGTCTGGATCCCAGTGAGATATGTTTTTAAAAATATTTTTATTGTGTTAAAAGATATCAGTCATCAGTTCTATTCCCTGTTTTGTGGCACTACTGGTCAGCCATATTTGTGAGGCTTAGAAATGATAATCGGAATCGGTAGTTAAGAAACCCTAAAATGGTTATTTATTATGGGGTGAATTATCGGAAATATATGATAAGTAATTGATTCAAATAGATTTTGATCATGATTCATATCAGGCACTTTATAATAATTTTTCTCTTTTCCAATTTTTAATCATACTTGTAGTTTTGGTGGTGAAAAATTACATTAATGGGAAAACAGTAATGACTCGTAGAAAAATATGATTTAATATTATATTTTTTTTTAAAGAATACTTCTCAAAGGCCGCGTAGACCTCTAATATTTAAATTCCCCAAAATATCTAAAACATTAGAATTAAAAAATTATATTATTATAATATAGAAGTATACTTTTTAGATACAGAGGATTTATCCCGACCTCTGAATAAAAATATCAACACTGCAATATAGTTAATAATTATTTTGCATTTTTAGCTACTTTAACTGGCTCGAATATAGTTATACCAAAAATCGGTTATTACAGTTGGCACTTGGCGTTAATCAGCAGTCATTCGATGGAAAAAATATTGCCTATTACCAGGGTACCAGTTCACTTGAGATATTGTTTAAGTGCTGTAAATGTTTAAAGATATTTTTATTTAATAACCCGTAAATCTAATCATAGGTACATTTTAAAAAGATTAACTTACTGTACGCCGATATGTTTTCGTATTTTATTGGTTTCTTAATTTTATAATTCAGACGAAATACCATTTAGGTAATTGCAAATTACCAAATTAATAATGCAATTTCATTTCGAACGCATTCAATAATTACCTACTCTATATGCTAGAGAATAAAGCTTATCAAAGTTGTAACAAACACTGCTGTATGATTAGAAATACTATTGTATAATTCGAATACACTATAGTAGAATATTCGAGTGTTTGTATGTTAAATTTTAAAATAGTAACATCTAGCAAACATAGAGCTTTTTTAAGTTTGCCTTTGACAGCGTAAATAATTAAATTTGTACGTATTTTATTGAAATACACACTGAGCCAGATTTATTATAATATGGTAGTGTAAATATAATGATGTAATCTGGCATCTGCCCATTATGTTTCAATTGAATCTGTTATTTGAAATGTATTGTGTTTGTATTGGTTAATCTACTATATATATATATATATATATATATAATTTTAGATATAAACACTGATATTCGTTGTATGCTTGTAAGTAGGTTTCATACGAAGACACGCGAAGAAATACGATAAATAAATTTTAGGAATTATAATTCTTTATTATTACTTTTAAGTTATTGATATGTCGTTATTTATAAAACTAGTACATTAGCAATTAGCACGTGTGTACTTTTGATATGCTAAATTCGTAATCGTTGTTGTTGTGAATTATTATACAGTGTATTTTTTAAAATATGGTTATTTATTATTGTTAATTACTTAACTAATTGGCCCTTTTTACAGTTTTCGAAAGTAATTGTATACTTAACTGTGCAATTGTTTATAGATTAAAATGGTAACGACTAATACATTTTTTTAATGGCGAATTGTGAGTTTTCAATGAAACTTTTTGAACGGTTGATTTGCGGAAAATGTGAATTATTATGATAAATACTCTATACTATATGAAGGCCACGGGAAAAAAGAATGCCAGTATTTACAAATTTTCAGCGTTGTAATTTTTCAAGTTGCAGAGCTCAAATAGTCTTAGTAATAAGGGAAATACAACACAACCATAATATTATAATGATTGTAACAAAGTTTAAATGAAAAGTCAAATTTCCTTTTTTTAAACTTAAACTAGAAAAATTGACTATGGAAGTTTTTCTACGCAGCCCTTTACACACTAGTAACTCATTAAGATTAAACCTTATAAAACCCTATGTAATGTTTTGATCTAGTATTATGTAATACGTTGAATCGTTGGTCACATTCTAAATGATTTTTACATTTTTACAATCATGATAATGGTCTTGTTTTTGAAATAAAAATAGAAGTCGTTAATTATTTTATAGTAGAATAGCACACGTGAAAAAGTTTGATTTTTCTAATAAAAACGTATAAAACGATTTACACAATATACGATTAAATTTCCTCCTGTTTGGCGAGATTGAAAAGAGATTGTTTGTAGAAAATGACATTTTAAAATTTCATTTTCTAAGACTTGATCCAAAATCCTTTCTGGTCTTCCATCGCGACCTCTCTCACGGCTAGTACGTATTATAACACAGGCACAACAAGTGTATTCTATACTTTGAACATTTTTAATCTAACAATAATTCAAAGTTTACCGAAAATAAAATTTTTAGCCGCCGAGGCAGCCGAAAAAGCCGGATAAGTGGAATTATGGTCAATAGTATGTTCACTCACCGCTCTGCCGCATCCCCATTCCCAGGTGTTCCATAATGTCTTGAAGGAATGTTTCATCGCACGGCGGGCTTTGCGGTGCCGGCGAGTGGTTCGACGGCACTTGTTGGTCGCATGGGCGAACGAGGGTTGCCGCCGGCAGGGAAGACTGCCGGTCGGGGAACGAGTAGGGATAGTTTGCACGCAAAACTGCGAGAGAGGGTCTCTCTGCGAAGTCGAAGAGTTCGGTTTTCTTTACACGAAATCCGGCAAAAAAGAACGAGTTTTTTTTTCACGTCTGTCAGCGGGTTATCTAAACAGTTATTATTGTTGTCGTTGGTAACACACAGACGAGCTGGACGTACGCGCGAGGATTAGCGAAACGGCGAGACCGGAGTTTGATGGTTTGCAGAACGTGATGCTGACTGTGTGTTGTCAGCGAATATCGCGTGCCCGGTCGGTCGGTTAGGCGACTACGGCGGCAGCGGTACTCCTACTACTTTCGCCCGGCGATCCACGTATGGCGGGCGACAACCGGGTCCAACGGCCGACAGCTGGGGAAAGATGTACTGTACACATATTTTGTATTGTTTAAAAATAATAATCGTTATTCGCTATCGCCGTGTTATCAACATTGCGTTATCGTGTAGTATACCAAAGCCGAAGACAAAAAAAAAAACAACAACAAAAAACGGCCGTAAAACAATCGTTTCGATGCTTGGCGATCATCACTCGCTCCTGGTACGGTGTACCGCAGAGCCTCTGATTGCCGCCGAAGGTTATCCGCAACGCAATAATAATTGTCTCCACACACACGGACGTACATGACCCGTTGTTACCACAGCATCGCCTCGTGAAAATTCCACCGGTCGAACCAGGTTTTGGGGGTGCGTTTTAAAAGCAACGGTATTTTGCGTCAGATAAACCGTCATGTATGCGGATTTACTAGGGGCGACTGTGTAGGACAATGCCTAAGCCCATCCGACATGCCGAGGACTGATTCTTGTATTCTACATTTTTTTGGTTCACTGTAAAATTGTAATTACATTACAGCGGTTGGCCACGTTGAATGAAAGTGTGAGGGGCAAAATCCCTCACGACTCATATTGAAGAGCAGTTACGTCGATACAAGCCACATGATGGTAACGACCTACCCTATCGTTTTGGAAATATTGTGATTTAGTATGCGTGTCAACCATAATGGTTCCAAACAACCTGGGCTTAATAGGTGAGGCGAGGCACCACGGCTTGGAGACACCATAAAATATTGTCAGTCAGGACAAACACAACTTTTATTTTATTCTATGTGGATTTAAGAAGATTTGTCTGCCTTACGGCGTTTTACATTTTTTTGCCTACAGTTTTATACTACCATAGTGTCATTTTAGCAAAGTACCTTAGAAGATGCTATGATCGGCGGTCATCCGGTCCACCGCCCATAATGCTACTTGTGCAGATGTGTGTAGATGGGACTCAAAATCCGAATTTCTCAAGTATCCTAATTTGATAATTTTTTTCAATAGTAATTAAAATATTTAATTAATTTCCTATGCTCCACAAAGAGGTTTTTAGCGTTTATACGTTTGATATGATACACATTTTGATTACTACATGTTTCTTATTGGTTTATTTGTTACGTTTATCGTTCGTGATTTTTTCTCACTTAACCATATAATTTATATAAATTGTCATCAGTCCAGTTTAATTGCGAAATTATTTTCCAATAAAAAAATGTATTTGAAACTGATTGAAAATATAGCAAATTACTAAGGTTTAGTAACACTCAAAAAGTACGATTTTTTTACCAGTGCAACCGGATTAAGACGGACCCTGAATAATCCGAAAAACTGGACAAAACGGAATTTGTTTCTAAACATTTGTTATTACAAATCATTGAATCGTATTTTATACAGTTAACAAAATATTTTAATTGTGTTAGTTCAAGTAAACACAGTTTTATTAAATTTGGTGTACAATTAATAGATATGTACTTTTTAATATAGAATAACTTTGTATCGTGTAGTTTGTATAAAAGGCAAAAAAAAAAATAAATAAATAAGTCCATCAAAAAATAATGTATATTAATTTAAACGCATTAATTCTATAATTGGTATATTTTTGTACTATCAAATCAAAACTATTTGCGAGCTGTGTCTTGTGAGTTGGTATAAGTATATATTTTTACATGCTTTAACAGGTACGTACGTACGTTTGTACGAGTATTTTTTGTACGATATTAATTTAACCCACTTTCCGATGTCGTATAGGGCTGAAACTTGGCACAAACACTCATCTTAGATTCTTATTGGTACTCGGACATCCAGGTCGCCCTCCACTGGGTCAAATGTGGGGGTCATTTAACTAAAATTTAATTTTTTTCCAAATCTTCCAAAATGAATTTAGTAATCTATTCAGCAATTATCAAATACCTTTAATAAGACTAAAAAGTAAAAAAATAGAAATAAATTAATTAAAAAAAAACTTTTTAAAAACATGCTTTTCTAAAAAAAAAAAAAATAGTAAAAAGTGAACTAAAAAGTAAAAAATAAATTTATTACATGAACATTTTACCAATCAACTGTAGCATATTTTATTTAAAATGTCAATTACTTTGAAAACAACCGAAAATTAACTTCAATTTTAAATAATGTTAAACATCTTTAATTTTTAAAAAAAAAGAAAAGCATGGGCTCTAGTCAACAAAGTCCCTAATAAATTTATCAGATAATGTTTTATATTGTAAGTTTTTTTGTAATTTAAATTTAGTTTAATATTTGTGTGTGACACATACATTTCAAGTCCAAATTCATTGAGTTAAGTATTATGAAATGTATGTGTCACACACAAATATTAAACTAAATTTAAACCAAACCTAAACATCTTAAAACTAAAAACACAAATCTGTTGCTAACCTAACAACGAAATCAATCGCAATATGAAGATCTAAGAATAAACATAAAAGGTACACAAAATCTTCATTCACAAAAATGGTAGACATTGCACGAAATAAAACCTGCCGTTTATTCAAGGGCCTGCCTAAAAAAATGGCCTGTAGAGAAATTATAGATTCTTTTGAGAATAGCCTTGCCCTCCATCAGAAGATCAACCATAAATATAGGTATTCAACATCCAACGTTACGGGTTTTTAATAGGTAGGATTGATACCTAGCACAATGATAGTAGCTAATCAGCGCCGCAAAGTTTCTACACTTAACACGCAAAAACAAACAAAGTTAAAATTGATAGAGGACTACTTTCGTAAAATCTTTTGACAGGCTAATGACCTCGAGTGACCCTTTAACGAAAAATCTGAGCACACTGGCCCCGAACCCTTTAATCTACTCCTCGAATTGATTGTATATTCCATAAATATCATTTCAGCTGATACATAACCTGACTAGGATAGAATACTCATCCGTCTCAGTTTAGACAGACAACAGCAGCTCTAGAAATATAAGTCCTATGGTGTGACCTATGGGACTAGACCGGTCGAGGCTGGAGGAACGGCCTTATCACTACTATTCTCATACTACAAAGGAAATGGCCTAGTTATTAAAGAGCTATGAAAGCTATGCTTATTGGTCCTAAAATGAGTACACCGGTTTTAAAGTGAAAAGATAAAAAAAAAAGAAATAAGGCCCACTTTACTGCCACGGCCACACTATGTAATATGAGTCGACATGAGTCGAATATAATGTTTAAATATAATTTGGCTCTAAATTTAAACATATTATAATTTAAAATTTAAAAAAATTATTTTAAATATATTTTTTAGCACTTTCAATTTAATTAATCATTAATAATATAATAAGTATGGACACACTAATTATAAAACAAGTAATTTGTAAGTCGATTATATAACAATATGATGATCTCATAAATGATAAAATTATAATAAATTTCTAGTTATATTTTCAAGTTTAAAAATTAAATTTCAAGGCTTTTCTTTTAATACAACGTACTACTCTTACGTGTTTGTTAAATTGGTCGTAAAAGTATAATTATTAATGTAGTTTTATTATCATTATTTTTTGTAAAATAGGCAATCATAATTATCCGTAGTAACAATACTCTTGTCTGTTACATAACCGTTATAATTGATGTAATAATTTTTAACAATTACAAAGTATAAATAAGTACCTACTTTAAAGTTATTTTTTGTAAGTGCCTATATAAAGTGCCTCTCCCTTCAAATTGTACCTATGCTGAGTGTAACTTAACTACCCTCAAAATATTGAAATATTCTTTAGAACACCTAAATCTACAGTGAATCAACTAAAGTAAAAACATAACATCTAAAATATTTAAAAAAAAAATATTTGGAAATACTATGTAAGCAGATTGGTGCAGTGTTAGCTGACCATAAAAGCCTCCAAATAGGTAGATATCAATTTCGTGATAACTGAATTACCTAAATAATAAAAAATTGGATTTTGTCCGATGAAAGAATATTTTTAGTTTTTGGACTATAACAAATTATGTAATCAAAAATCTAAATAGGAGGTGTTAATGCGTTGCCACCATGAGTTTATATGTATATGTTGTTTTATCCCTACCCATTATATTTGAGTACGATTAGTTAATTTTCAATACATCTTACAAAACTGAAAACAATAGAATAATTTGCATAGAATTTAATTATTAGCTAAATACCGATGGAATATTTTTCTTAAAAATAAACTAATCGAAAATAATCTTTTTACAGAATGCGTCTTTTAGAATTACCAATGCAATAATTCGAAAGAAATTTTACTTTTTGGTTTTACAGTTTCTATTACATTAATATGTGGGTTATTGAAGTGTTGTTGGTCGGAACTTGGTCGGACACCAGCTATAATTTGTAACAATAGGTTTCTTGTGTTTTTTTTTTTAAATTGTTAAATCAAGTGGAACATAAGAAATGATTAGTATCGGAATTATATCGGATTGATGACTATTATTTAGAATAAGTTCAATAAGCAGACGCGAGATTAATAACGACCAAATTACGCAAAAATAAACAATATATTCACTTGTGCACTCATAACACTATAATGTGTCAATGTTGGTTTTATACGGATCCTTTTTTATCAGTCAATACTTTTGTTTTTTGACGTATTACGATCACTACAATATGTTATGCTTAATTCGTTCAAACATATTCAATATTAACGTCCTCGACCCTGCATATAAGATATTTTATACGTCATGTTGTATGATGTAGTTA